CTATTCGTAAGGGATCTCCGACCGTCTTAGGAATCAAATACTTGAAATGCACCCCTTCAACCGACTCTTGAACTGTTCTTCACAGCATATTATCTTATTTCTACCTGATTTTTTTAGGAATTCGCATTTTAAAACTGATTCAAAAGCCACTAAAAGTTGAATACATTTCATCCAACAATCCCATTATACTTACAGAAATCCTTTCCAGTAGGACTAGTTTTCCAATTAATCATTCTGGCAAATATGCAGAAAAGATTGCAAGGGCGGCCATCCGTCGGACCGCGTTCATATTTCGTGACTCGAGCGATGCATTCGCGCGATTCTCAAATGGCTTTTTTCTTCGCTAATTGTTGGAAAAGTGCAGCTCTCCAAAAACGTTATATCCTTGGTGCGACTGGATTACAGTTGCAGCGGTCCAAGGAATAGTGGTGAAAAGCAGCTGGTAGTTGGCTGAAGCGCTAGGACTGGAAAGCTACCTTATTCATTAGTGGTTTCCAGTCATTTTAATCTATTGAAGTCTTTCCCCCATGCAGGTAATCAGTTCCCATGGGTGGACACACACACACTCAACAATGATAGTCTTCACTGCTGAATCGCTTTTTTTGGATGCGACACGCATTATACACTCCTTATCCCTGAGCCAGAGTAGGCGTGGCATTTGAACATGGCACGGAACTGGTTACTCGTGGAATATTCCAGTCTGGGACAACTGTCATCTTGTTCTGTGTTGGACAGAGACACGACAACAGTTGTGTCAAGATGGAAATATTCCACCAGAAGCATAGACACCTTCAGGTTAAGTTGAAGCATGCGGCCACGCCTACCCGATCTCAGGGATTTCGAGTGTGCTTCCATTCAGAATCGTATCCGCTTTTTGAATACCAGTCGGATCACCCGGCTGCCGCCGGGTGCTCCTCCTTCTTTGTCACGGCCCGGCTTCGCCGGGCCGGCCTGGCTTCGCCAGGCACTCTTTCCTTAGGCGAGGTAGAGTGTGCAAAATACGCCTAACCGTCACAGTGCATTTTCCAGCAAAATGTAGAAAAATAATTGAAAGTAGCTCGAGCAATGCGTTAAGTTTGCACTTGGGCCATGACGATCCATCCTGCTATATATAACCAGTCGATCGTTCGGCTGCGCCGAGCGCTCTTCTTCTGTTGAGATAGCCAACTCATAACTGTTATGATGATTGTTCTGGGCATCTAGCCTGAGATTACGTCGCAAAATCAAGAAAGCGGCCTGTCAAGCACAGAACACAGCAGTTCCGCGCATCACAGAAGGAGGAGCGGGAACTGCTGTGCCTGTGATCTTGACACTTAGCAGCGATCTATACTGTACGTTCATACACGATACAGCAGCCTGTCAGTTAACCGCAGAAAGATCCACGCTTCATGCATCTCTACTCCCGAACGTCTCGCTGATGACTGCACTCTACATTTCAGGGGAACGCTGTTAAATTGTCTCCTACTAAGGTTTACTGATAAAGAGACTATATGATATAGAGTGATAATTCTACTGCTTATGTCGACATCTCTGTTAAACAACCGCCATGGAATCGAGCTAGCTTGGCGGTCGTACATGATGTCGTCGTTGATAAGCAGTGAGGAATAAATTGTGTTGAAATGACTGAGATCGTGATACAGGGGTTATATCGATGCAATGTTTTTGTGAGTGGTGTAGCTGATTTTTCCATGTCAGCTTTTTACTTTCACCTCATAGCACCTGTCCCCGCCATCTTTCCGTCGCACGCGCCTATATCTTTTCTTTGTGCAAAAGTCCCATTGTTGCTGTGACTCGCGCTATGCACTCGGTGGCTCTGCCCTTCAGACGCCTCTTATCAAATCTTATCAGCTGATAGCAGTTCCTATCACTCACCAATAATGTTCCCGTTCCACCCCCTATATCTCTTCTTGGAACCAAGGTCCCACTGTTGCTGTAACCTGCGTTACGAATTTGATGACCCTCCCCTTCCGAAGCCGCTTATCGTATCTTATCAACTGTTATCACTTTCTGTCACCCGCCAATAATGTTCCCGTCCCACACCCTATATCACCTCTCGGATCCAAGGACCCACTGTTCCTGTGAGCCGCACTATGAATTTGGTAGTCCTTCCCTTCTAATGCCCATTATCAGATCTTATCAGCTGATATCACATCCTGTCACCTACCAATAATGTTTTCGTCCCACCCCCTATTTCACTGCTCGGAACCAACGTCCCACTGCTGCTGTGGCCCGCACTATGGACTGGGTGACCATCCCCTTTGGACGCCTCTTATCGAATCTTATCAACTGATATCACATCCTGTCACCCACCAATGGTGTTCCCGTCACACCCCCTCCATCACTTCCTGGAATCAACGTTTCTCTGCCACTGGGACAGGTGTTATGAATTTCGTGACACACATACACACACACACACACTTAGCGGATTATATATAGTAGGATGGATGCACAAGCACTTTTGGGCGAGCCAACGAGCAAGTCACTGTTTTTATAGTCACATAAGAATCTGGCAGCAGTTCGTCGTACCCGGAGGGTAGACTGGATGATTGGTTTGGGAGAGAGCCGAGCCGGGATTCAACCCTAGGACCTGCGCGTGTGGTACATGGGGCATTAGCGACCATTTTTCTGCTTTCCTTTCATTGACTTTCCTGTCATTTTAGCATCGCTATTTGAGCTCCACTACCCACAATACCTTATCATGGTCTCTGAATTTGAGCCAGAAATTTACGAACACTGGAGAATAAGCTTACCTTCTTCCTGCGGTGCCGGCTGTTGAGAATCAGGAGGCGCTGCTTGCTGTTGAGGTTCACCTTGGGGCAACATTCCGGCCTGTTGTTGGGGTTCACCTCGTGGCATTCCACCTCGTTGCTGACCTTCAGGTCCTTCTTCTGAAGGTGGTTTCGGACCTTGCTCCTTGTTCAGTTCAGGCACCAAATCTGCAGTAGGCAATGAATCCATCGTCAGCAACGAAGGAAACTCCTTGTTAGCACTGATCAATTTTGTAGGGTCAAAACTCCTTGAGTACGTAACTATTGGTAAAGCACTTACAAACAGAGCCCGGCATGTCATGATCACTCGGTTTCGCTGGTTGTCCTGACGTTCTCGCTTGTCCTTCGAAAGAAATAAAGGATAATTATGTGAAAAGATTTGCCATCCTACTATGGAGCAGTCGCTAAGTATTTCCGTTATTGGGCACAGTTCGGCGACGGGCAGGAGAAGGGGGGCACTGCGCTGCTTCACTAGTTC